ACGGGGTCTAAACCAGAACCATCTAAACCAGGTCTAAACCAGGTCTAAACCAGGTCTAAACCAGGACTAGGTCTATACGGGGTCTAAACCAGATCTAAACCAAGTCTAAACCAGGTCTAAACCATGATTAAATGAGGTCTAAATTAGAACTGTACCAGGTCTAAACCAGGTCTTAACCAGGACTAGGTCTAAACCAGGTCTAACCACACCTGATCCTCACAGACAGGTTCAGTCCATCACTGTTTTTAATCGTGATCAAACTGGACTTTGATTTTTCCGTTTCAGACTCAGGTCTGGTTTTTGGTTTTTGGTTTTTGGTTCTTCGGATCTTCTGGATCTTCTGGATCTTCTGGATCTTCTAAGTCCGGTGGCCTTTCTTTCTGGGCTGAGGAAGAGGAGGAGGATTCTCGTCGTCGTTCACACTCGGGATCTGGAAACAAACGGAGAAGATTAAAACCGCAAGCAGCAACGAACGGCCCTCGTGGTCACTCATTACGCTCCACTGTCGCTCCTCATCATCAACATTCACCAGTGTAGTAGTAGTAGTAGTAGTAGTAGTAGTACCTGAGTCTGTCCTGTCTCGGGGAGTCTCCGGGGTCCGGGCAGAGGTTGTAGTAGTATTAGTAGTAGTAGTAGTAGTAGTAGTACCTGAGTCTGTCCTGTCTCGGGGAGTCTCCGGGGTCCGGGCAGAGGTTGTAGTAGTATTAGTAGTAGTAGTAGTAGTAGTAGTAGTAGTAGCCTGAGTCTGTCCTGTCTCGGGGAGTCTCCGGGGTCCGGGCAGAGGTTGTAGTAGTATTAGTAGTAGTAGTAGTAGTAGTAGTACCTGAGTCTGTCCTGTCTCGGGGAGTCTCCGGGGTCCGGGCAGAGGTTGTCCTGTGATGGGGTCGGGGGGTCTGGGTCGGTTCCGTCCGGCTCGGGGGGGTCTGGGCCCCGTGTGTCCGGCAGACATGGGTCCGTGCGGCGCGGCGGTGTTCGGTCGGGGTGAGGGGGTGGGGCGCTGCGAGGGGGCGGCGACGTGCGAGTGGGCGTGGCCTCGTTGGTTGGTGCACTGATGGTTCTGGTAGTTTTCGGTCGACAACTGGAGACGCAGCTCTTGTTCATCTGGAGTCATCACAAAAGAAAAAACATTTTTTCACTGATACTTTGCAGTTACTTTACTCTGGGGGTGTCCTACATGTAGCTCTATGGTGGAATCTTTAGGAGTTACCATGGTGACACAGTGCACACATTAGCAAACGCTGTCAATAAAGTTTGTAGCTTGATTTTCAACAAAAAGAAGAGAGTGACTAACTGAAAAACTGTCGGCTCATGCACGTTTACATGATGTTTTTTAATTCTGAATTAATTGTTCTGAATTAAAATATTCTCCTTCGAGTTTACATGGAAATAATAATTACGAATTGAGGTTTACATGGAAAACTCGTTAAATTGTGTTTATTTAATTCCATATTTACGTTGACCAGAAGAAAACACAAACTTCAGCCGCTACCGGCTTTTCTGTCGTCTCGGTTTGTCGTTACTCAAACCCTCAGACAGGGCAGTGCCTGCAGTTAGCGTCACAGCCCCAGAGAATGTTTAGTGTAGTTTGTGTGTGATTTCCTTTATGTTTTGTTGTTGTTTTAATCGTTACCTTTAATGTGCATCCTCCTCTTCTTCCTGTTGATGGAGCAGCAGACGATGGTGGCCACGATCAGCACGAGCACCAGACCTGAAAGAACGAAACGTACGTGTCATTACATCTGCACCACCGAGTTATTACACGTATAACTCCATGTTATTACACGTATAACACCATGTTATTACACGTATAACTCCATGTTATTACACGTATAACTCCATGTTATTACACGTATAACTCCATGTTATTACACGTATAACTATGTTATTACACGTATATAACCATGTTATTACACCGTGTTATTACACGTATAACTCCATGTTATTACACGTATAACACCATGTTGTTATTACACGTATAACTCATTACACCATGTTATTACACGTATAACTCCATGTTATTACACGTATAACACCGTTATTATACACGTATAACACCGTTATGTAACGTATAACATATATCATGTTATTACACGTATAACACCATGTTATATAACTCCATTTGTTTACACGTATAACTGTATGTTATTACACGTATAACTCCGTGTTATTAACACGTATAACACCGTTATTACACGTATAACATCACGTTAACACCCGTTTTATACACGTATACACTCATGTTATTACACGTTATACACGTATGTTATTACATAACCCATGTATAACTCAATGTTATTACACGTATAACTGTTTTACACCATGTTATTACACGTATAACTCCATGTTATTATACACGTATAACTCCATGTTATTACACGTATAACTCCATGTTATTACACGTATAACACCATGTTATAACACCGTGTTATTACACGTATAACACCATGTTATTACACGTATAACACCATGTTATATATACACGTATAACACAACTGTTATTAACTCATGTTATTACACGTATAACTCCATGTTATCACATGTTATTACACGTATAACACCATGTTATAACACCGTGTTATTACACGTATAACACCATGTTATTACACGTATAACACCATGTTATTACACGTATAACACCATGTTATAACACCGTGTTATTACACGTATTACACATGTTATTACACGTATAACACCATGTTATTACACGTATAACACCATGTTATTACACGTTATTACACGTATAACACATGTTATTACACGTATAACATGTTATACACGTTACACGTATAACCATGTTATTAACACGTATAACTCCATGTTATTAACACGTATAACTGTTATTACACGTATAACACCATGTATTACACGTTATACCATGTTTTACACGTATAAACTCCATGTTATTCACGTATAACACGTTATAACACCGTGTTATTACACGTTATAACATGTTATTAACGTATAACCATGTTATTACACGTATAACACCATGTTATTACACGTATACACCATGTTATACACCACCGTGTTATTACACGTTAACACGTTATTACACGTATAACACCATGTTATAACACCGTTATTACATATAACTTAAAAAAGTTGTTGTCAGCTCTATTCTCCGAGTTGAGAAAAGCTTTTATAAACTCATGGTGAATAATGAAGACGATGAGTGAGGAAGAACTCTGCAAACTGTTTCAAATAAACCGTTTTTTCATGTTTTCACCTTGAACTCACAGTGCCTCTGGTCTTACCTCCTCCTCCGGCCAGAATCCCGACCATGAGCCAAAAGGGAAGTCCGAACAACGAAGCCTCTTCTTCTTCTTCTGGGCGTGAAGTCGGTTTGGGAAGAGAAACTAAGCGTTAATGTTAGCAAGCGTCATGTTAATTTCAGTGTGTTTGAAGTGAACATTTCGTGTCGTTTCTCTTTACCAATTTTAACACAGTCGGATTTAGTCGGGTCACTGGTTTGGGAGCTCGCAGGATTCGAGACTTTGCACGTAAACGAGTTGGACCCCAGCTGTGTGAGAGTTCGAACTAGAACTCCTCCTTTTTCATTGTCGATGATTTTTTCCACTTTCAGCCCACTGGTATGTAAGTTTATTTTTCTAGAAGAAAAATAAAGGCATAAAATGATAAAGAAAATAAATATTAAAGGTCCTGTAGAAAAAAGTTTCTCCAAAGTGTCCGTCCATAAACCACAGGAACAAATATTGTGTTGAAGCCTGTGATTATTTATCCTCATAACACCAGTCCACAAGAAAAGAGTTTCTTACCTGAGGAACTGAGCAGGTGAACTGGACTTTATTCAGTTTATCACATTTGACCGTCACCGTGGGCTTCGAAACACTCTCTGAAACAAAACAACAAAACACCACAGAGCAGAAAAGTTACACAGTGCTCCTTTAACAACCTCTGCCCATTCAGAAGATTAAATATTTTGGTTTGAACTGCTAATCGCTACGGCAACGGGGCTCGATTTCAGTACATTCAGTGTGTAACTTTTTGAACTTGGTCCATCGTCTGTTTGTTTCTATGGATACACCATTACTCTGCCATAGAATGTTCCACAGTGTGACATTAAACAGCTCTAATTTACATTTATTCAATCACATTTATTCAGGTTTAAAGCTCAAAATAACAACAAACAAACAAAACAAACAAAAATACATTCTGACTTTGTGCGGTGTCGCCTCTCCACAGATCTGATCTGTAACTTGGTCTGGTTTGGTCTCCATGGAGATAGAGAAAGGTTTAATGCCGTACTGTGAAACATTCCAGACAAAGCAACATCATCTCCATGAAGGAAAATGAAATGAATAAAATGAAATAAAATCCACATATGAAAATAAGACGATGTTTGTGTCACAGACGATCAGTAAACAGAAAGAAAATCCAGATCTAAAAAGGAAAAAGTCTCCACAGGAAAATGGACTTTAGTGAAGTACAGACACTTACATATTGTACTTTTACTTTTGTACTTCATTACCAGTGTTGGGTGTAAAGTATTACAGGGACATAAATACTTTTTTCATTTTTTTGTGTAACTAGTGAACATTTTGTAATGAACTGTAGCTCCTTTTTCAGTTCAGGCCGGCCTCCAGCCACACAGCTGCGGAGGACAGTCCAGCCCGGTCGACAGCCGGGAGCCGAGAGCCGGGAGCCGGGAGCCGGGAGCCGGGAGCCGGGAGCCGAGGCCGGGAGCCGGGAGCCGGGAGCCGGGAGCCGGGAGCCGAGAGCCGAGAGCCGGGGGGCATCCACGGCTCTGGGGAGCAGCGAGGTCCTGGCAGGAGGAGCTGTAAAGCTGCAGCCACCTTCACCTCGAGTCTTTCCTGAGTGACCCGGAGCCGGTCGCGGTCCACCGCCTCAGAGGAGCTTGGCAGGGGCCAGCGACACCCGGGGAGAGGTCCCTCGGGGAGAGGTCCCTCGGGGAGAGGTCCCTCGGGGAGAGGTCCCTCGGGGGGGGGTCCCTCGGGAGAGGTCCCTCGGGGAGAGGTCCCTCGGGGAGGGGTCCCTCGGGGGGGTCCCTCGGGGGGGGGGTCCCTCGGGGGAGGTCCCTCGGGGAGGGGGGGTCCCTCGGGGGGGGGGGTCCTCGGGGAGGGGTCCCTCGGGGAGGGGTCCTCGGGGGGGTCCCTCGGGGGGGGTCCCTCGGGGGGGGTCCCTCGGGGGGGGTCCTCCAGACTTCACAGACCTGTTTACCTCTGAACAGTTTCACGTCCTCTTGAACTCTCGCTTCAAATTTCGCTTACATTTCTTGTCGACTGTCGTCCTCGTGCTGTATTCACCCTTAGATGGAGTTTACCACCAAAAAGTGACCCAAGTAACGTAAAAAGTTACTCACCATAGAGGGTAACTAAGTAAAGTAAGGGATTACTTTTTAAAGAAGTAATAAGTAATGAGCAAACACAGCTTTTTAAAAGTAACTTCCCCAACTCTGTTGATGACCTTCCCGCCCTGGTGTTCTGGACGTACCGTGGACACATAAGTGCAGGGTCTGTTGTTTGGTCTGTCCATCTTTGTTGACGGTCTCGACCGTGTAGTCCCCGCTGTTGGACGGAGACACTGTGGGCAGGATGAGCGCCCCCTGTGCTGTGACTGAGTGTGAGTTTGAGTTTGCTGATCTACTGTCATATATTGTCTTGCTCCCAAACTTCCATCTGATTCTGTTTTCTTTGGGCAAAGGCAGAGGGAGGTCGAAGCGTTGGCCCAGGGCGGCGTGGTGTGTGCACGACTCTGGAAAAAACACAAATATACATGAAAACAAGAACTAAAATGATTAAACTAAAAGACTAAACCAGGACGAGACCAAAACTAAACCAAGACCAAACCAGGACGAGACCAAAACTAAACCAAGACCAAACCAGGACGAGACCAAAACTAAACCAGAGCCAAACAAACACTAAACCAAAACTAAACCAGGACTAAACTAGGACTAAACCAAAACTAAACCAGGACTAAACCAGGACTAAACCAGGACTAAACGACTAAAACTAAACAGGACTAAACCAGGACTAAACCAGGACTAAACCAGGAAACCAAAACTAAACCAGGACTAAAACCAGGACTAAAACAGGACTAAACCAGGACTAAACCAGGACTAAACCAAGACTAAACCAGGGACTAAACCATAAACCGACTAAACCAAGACTAAACCAAGACTAAAACTAAGGACTAAACCAAGACTAAACTAGAACTAAACCAAGACTAAACCAAGGGACTAAACCAAGACTAAACCAAGACTAAACCAGGACTAAACTAGACTAAACCAAGACTAAACTAAGGACTAAACCAAGACTAAACCAAGACTAAACTAAACCAGGACTAAACTAGGACTAAACCAAGACTAAACCATAAACTAAACCAAGGACTAAACCAAGACTAAACCAAGACTAAACGAGACTAAACGGACTAAACTAGGACTAAACCAAGACTAAACCAAGACTAAACTAAACCAGGACTAAATTAGGACTAAACCAAGACTAAACTAGGACTAAACCAAGACTAAACTAAACTAAACGGACTAAACCAAGACTAAACGAGGGCTAAACTAGGACTAAACCAAGACTAAACTAAACCAGGACTAAACCAAGAACTAAACTAAGACTAAACCAAGACTAAACGAGGGCTAAACGAGGACTAAACCAGAACTAAACTAGGACTAAACCAGGACTAAACTAGGGCTAAATCCAGGGCTAAAACAGGACTAAACCAGGACTAAAATAACACTAAACTAGGGCTAAACAAGGGCTAAACCAAGACTAAAACAGGACTAAACCAGGACTAAAATAACACTAAACTAGGGCTAAACAAGGGCTAAACCAAGACTAAAACAGGACTAAACCAAGGCTAAAAACTGGACTAAATCAAGACTGAACCGACACTGAACCAGGACTAAACCAGGCCTAAAACAGGACTAACCCAAGACTAAATCAGGGCTAAAACAGGACTAAACCAAGACTAAGACTAAACCAGGGCTACAACAGGACTAAACCAAGACTAAACTATGGGCTAAACCAGAACTAAACCAAGTCTAAACTAAGTCTAAACCAAGACTAAACTAGGGCTAAAACAGGACTAAACCAAGACTAAACCAAGACTAAACTACGGGCTAAACCAAGATTAAACTAGGGCCAAACCAGGACGAAATCCAAGACTAAGCCAGGCTAAAACAGGACTAAACCAGGACTAAACCAGTTAAAACTATGGGCTAAACCAGGACTAAACAAGTCTAAATCAAGACTAAACCAGGACTAAACAGGACTAAACAGGACTAAACAGGGTTAAACGGGACTGAAACAGGACTAAACTGTGGCTAAATCCAGGGCTAAAACAGAACTAAAGCAAGACTAAACTAGGGCTAAACAGGATTAAACCAAGACTAAACTGAACTAACTGACTGATTAAAGCTGTGGGAGGGACTTTAGTGGAACTTTCAGGCTGAAGTTCCCTGGAAACAGTCGTTAAAGTTTCTGGAAGAGTCCGGAAGTGATTCAGAATGTGCATAAACAGGAGTGGGGTCATGACACTGCCCTGAGGTACGCCACATTAACCTGATAATGGGGAAGAAAATGTGAAGCCAATTCTTTTTTATTACGATTGCATAAGTCATGAGTCAAACATTTTCCTCAGATACAAAAAGAAGTTTAATCACAAGGTCCGAGTCATGCAGCACCAACACAATCAAACCGACCAAAACTGCAGCTAAGCCAGTTTCGTTTCCTTTTTCTTCTTTAAGTTTACATTTCTGCGGCTTTTTATCCAAGTGTGAGTCCAACACGTCTAGAAAAGAGGTAAAAAAATATAAAAATTCTATATGGGTCATCTCACGCCAAATCTCCGAATCCCCTCGCCCGACCATCTCAGATTTGACTGAAATAAATTCAAGAGGTTCACTCATTTTCCAACAGGAAAAGTCCCAAATTTTATCTCCCAACTCCTGATAGTTTTGTCCATTAAAAGATATTTTGTCAGTTCCCCCCTGACCTGTTTTGAGCAGAGTTTTTTGAGGAGCTGCTTTCAGATTGTTGTATCCAAAAAACTATTTAAGGTCGGGCCTTCAAATGTTTCAAAAAATCTGTACTTTGTAAAATCTGGACTTTTACACATGTGCTTTTGGTTTATCACAGATTTCTGGGGGCTTGAATTTGCTTGAAAATTTTACTCTTCGAATGTGAGGGCCCTGAGCCCCAATTATAAAAAAAAAAAAAATAATAATAATAATTATAAAATAATAATAACTTTTTTCTTAATTAATACATTTTTTTTTTTTTTAGATATTATCTTGTTATTTTGAGATATTATTTCAAGATAACAATTATTGTGTAAAAGTGTAAAAAATTTTATTTTTTCCTTAAATTTTTTTTTGTTTATTTGATATTATCTTGTTATTTTCAAGATAATATCTATATTATTGATAATATCTATATTGAGATACTATCTAAATAATATAAATAAGAAAATTTTAAAAAGTATTAATTATTATTTTATTATTAGTTGTTTATTTTTACACTTGCAGCTCAGTGTGAAATGACTCATGGGAAATGTAGTTTCTGATGAAAACAACAT